CCCTGTGATCTTCCAAAATTTCCACGATTCGAACATGGTTTAATGAGAAAAAGTGGCAACATTGCATTTTCGAGTATACAGTGGCTAGCTGCGTTTCTGTGATCGCCGATCGAGATTTCATTTATTATTTTACATTATTTCGATAAAGAAATGTTAAGAAAATTCAATATCGATGTGATGCTGATAGAAATCTGGATCAATTTGTGATCAATTCTGTTTGTTTTGTTTCCTAATTAAGTGAGGAAATTTTAATTGACAGCACCGACAAATGAATATATACATAAACAAATGGTCGGTCATGGTTAAAACAATTCAAATTTTTGTATTGAAGTTTTGGTTTAAAATTAATTTTTTCCTTTTCAGTAGGGTTTTGCACATTATCTTCTGTGTGAGAATTGATCGTAATAGATACGGATCTGAATAAGCGACTGGAACACGGCTGTTTGTCAAAAGCATACGATTTCGAACTCGCGTAAATGTACATTTGCTAAATGTGATAGCATGAACGCTCTTCGAAAACATATGTTCGAAAGTGCTAAATGTTGCATCTCAAATGCAGCTTTATTAAATCTGCCACAAACCAAAAATACAAAGGCACATTGTAATTAAAAATTAATGAATATAGCATACAAACATACATATACTTATATGGAATTAAAAATTATAAACAACAATTTGAGGACAAAAAACTCACAATGTTTAAGAACTTTGATTAACACCTAAATACAGCGTATCTGTACCATCTTTTGTGGTAGCTTTGTCAATACTAAAATAATAAACATTTTTATTTGTAATCATAAACAAGAAATGTAAGCGGCCGCAATGTTGTCCGTATCTTCTTTTCTGTTCATTGTCTTTTTCCTTCTTTGCATTATCCTAAGGCTTTCTAGTGTATATCGGGTTGACTCCCTTCTTTCTTTGTCGATAATCTTTGTGTTTGCGAAATCAGCTGTATGTCCACTTGTTATGATGTGTTGTGATAATGCTGCACTGCTTTTTTGTTTTCTTATATCTGCTTCATGTTCGCCTAGTCTAACACCTAAAGGCCGCTTAGTTGTCCCAATATACACTTTTTCGCATTCCTCAATTTCATTTCCCTTACATTTAATTTCATACACTACATTGTTTTGTTGTTGGATATCTACTGAGCACTTAGTTCTTGTGTATATTGACGACAGAGTGTAATTAGATTTGTAGGCAAGTGCTGTGTTTTGTGATTTCGTTATGCTGTGACCAAAATTGCCAGTTAAGTTGGGAATGTATGTTACACTGTAAAATTTCTTAGTAGTTTTTGTTGTGTCTGTGTTCGGTATTTTACCCGAATTGCCCCTGAAGATGCTAAAAATGTTTTAGCGAAACGTTGGGCCAGAAAGTGGAATAATGTAGTTTTATTCGCGCTAAAAAACATGGATCAGACGAGCCTGGTAACATAATATTTAATAAAATTCTCTTTGTTCCTGATTTGTAAACAAAGGTTTATCTACAAGTTACCACAACTGTCAAAATCGGCAAAACCAAAGTAGCGGTACTACTGACGGCGCCACCTTTGTTCGCTGCACCGTGGATTCGAACATGGTTTAATGAGGAAAAGTGGCAACATTGCTTTTTCGCGTATACAGTGGCTAGCTGCGTTTCAGTGATCGCCGATCGAGATTTCATTTATTATTTTACAACGCAACAGAAAAGTAGCGAGTTGGTTTACTTTCGACGGAAACTGCGTTAACGCATTCGTAACGGCATCGTCTGTAACAGCTGTTATACAAACGCACGTGTTCAATATTTGTTGCGTTCCAGATGACTTCGTGTAAAAACCTGTAAAACTGTCAAATTTCAAAATTACTCTCTTGAAAGAGAGAAGCGAGAGCGAAACAATAAGGGTCACCTGGAACACGAAAAACCACATTTCCTGTAACTACGATCAAATATCTTTATCAACCGTCTCGCGTTATGCTTGACAAAAAACAAGCGGACTTGCCTTCTGATCGTCGTGGTGAGCAAGTGCGCGGACAAGAAAAATAAACTGTTTGCTTAATTGACGAGTTTATTTGAACGTTTGCGGGCCTATCGCATACATATGCAATGCTTGACGTATTTATTTGATTGTCTCCGTGGCGCTTAAGGTTCTGTTTTTGTTTACAAATGCAACCCCGCCTATCGTTTGACACTTTTGATGAACTTGCAGGAAGAAAAACTCCGGACTAAAACCTGCAACTTCTGACTGAGAGAGAGAGCAAGTTACTCTCACAAAAGTGGTTTGACTTACAGTTTTTTTAGCACCTGGAACGCTTTCCTGCAAGAAAAAACCTGCAAATCGTAAGGTAATTCTCTAGTATAGGGTAACAACCCCTAAAAAAAGGTCCGGAAAAGTCGGGGGGTAATAAACGACGCGTTTCGGTCCCCCTATTAACAATCTGGAGGGGGAGGGCTAATATTATTAACCATTTAATAGTTATAAACAAAAAACTTTTGTTAAATTTCGTTGTTTTGTATGGGCAATTACCACGTCAAAAATGGACTAAATCACCAGTTTCCACTTTTAAAATACTATTAGAACGTCTCCGGTTATTGTTTTATGCAAACAAAATCATTTATTCACTTTTATTTTATATATTTCGTTAATAAAACAGAGTAAACAAACTTTGCGCTTGGTAAAATTATTATAACCTCAAATCGCTGGTATTGCCACTTTATTTCACATTTCATTATCTCTATTACACTCAGTTTACACTATACACTTCTTCTTCTTTTTTACTTTCAACTAAATAAAATATTCTAACCAAAATATAATAGCAAATTTCGCTATACCATGGCAGCGCTAGTTTTATGGTTTACAGTTTTTTATCGAAGTATTGATTTTTATGGGAAAAGCGCCGCATGCGAAAATTTTTAATAAAAAATCGCGCGATTTTTATTAAAAATTTTCATTATTTATCGAAGCATTGATTTTTGTGGGGAAAGCGCCGCAGGCGATTTTTAATAAAAAATTTTCATTTATATATATATAATAAATGGAAGAAGATACCGAAAAGCATTGACCACTGCACATACCTTGTAAGGAAAAGTGAATTATTACGAAATACTAATACAGTGGCAGCACTATAGCTATTTTGGGATCTCGCGTTTCAGTTCGCAAAGATTGTCAACTTCTTTTTAGTAACAAAATAATCTATCTTAGGGTGATAAAACTACGTGTTTGTTTAATAATTAAGTTAAATTATATAGCTTAATAGTGTTTAAAAAGTGAGAACAGGTGATTTAGTGGATTTTTGTCGGGGTAATTGTCCATACAAAACAACGAAATTTAACAAAAGTTTTTTGTTTATAACGTTTAAATGGTTAATAATATTAGCCCTCCCCCTCCGGATTGTTAATAGGGGGACCGAAACGCGTCGTTTGGTACCCCTCCCGACCTTTCCGGACCTTTTCCAGAATGACGCATTTAAAAAAAATCAGGAAGCAAATGCGTTCCTTTTTACCTCGTTTATATGGCATCAAACGGGGTATCGAATTGACTCATGTCAGTGTAGCTCGCTTGAAATACAAGTGCTTATATGCAACATGAAAAATAGTCGATCGAACACGCTCTCATACAGAGTTCAGCCAAATGGAACCCTGTTAATTCATGTGTCATTTATTAAAAATAATAAACATGGAAAAATAATAATTAAAGACTCAAACAGCCTTGTAAAACATTAAACATTAATTAAATATGCATATAGTGCATTAATTTTTGAAAGAAATACCATATAATGTATGAACTCTGATTAATAATATTAAAAAGTGTGTTATAACCACCGTTTAATGTTATATTTGATACAAATTATCTTTGCTACTCTGAACGCTCTGCGCATTGCCACTGAATATTAGGTTACTTAAAATTACATCCCTGTTCCTTGTTCTTTCTGTATTGCATCGTGGTGAATTCACATTTCTCAGAAATTTTACAACAAAACAAAATGAAGGTAGTATTTTATTTGCTAATTTTTGCGATTTCTATTGTTTAATGTAAATTTTATGTATTTTTAGGATATGTTGAGGCAACAAAGAAGGCGCAGTTTGAAAATGAAGTTATTAGTATGAAGTAGCAGCGCAGGCACATTTGGAAAATTATGCCGATAAGCAAGATGGAATTTGGGAAAGCAAGTGCCTACTTGCAGCATATCTTATGTATTAAAAAAGTATTTAATTAAATGAAATGGTGCTTAATAGAAATGTTATAAATCGAGTGGCATTATTTAAGATGTGCTTCAAACATTTGGCGAATTTTTTTTCATCTCGACGTGCTAGGTTACAAGTTAAGATGACTGCCACCACGGCCGGTAAGAAGCCCGAAGCAAAGGGCAAACAACCTTCCAGAAAGCTGCCCGCTGTCCCCGAGTCGTAGCTGAAGTTCAGAAAGAAGCAGGTCAGCAAACGTGCTACCCTGACCAAACGTAAACTAAAGCGCTCTGCTGTGATTGCACTAATAGGGCTTTCGCACGCGGCGATTTTTCAGGCAACTTTTGCGTTCAACTCACGCAGGGTTGCACGAAAAAAAAATTGAATGGCTAAAAATATCAAAATATAAAAAATATCAAAATATAAAAAAATATCAAAATATAAAAAAATTTCAAAATATTCGCCATAAAAAGGTGTTTGCATTGTCCAACTTTGCATTCTACTTTTGGTTGAACGGCCTTTCAACTAATCGCTTTCAACAAAATTGGTCGCCTGCCAACATTTAGCCATTCCACTTTTTTTCCGTGCAACCCTGCGTGAGTTGAACGCAAAATCGCCTCGTGCGAACACCTTTTAAGCAAACGTGAAAACTTGGTGCATGCTGAGAAATATCAAGCTAAATATATCCGTGATGGACACCGTGAGAATAAGTTGCGCCGTCTGGCAAAGAAACGCGGCCCATTCTACGTGCCTGCAGAAGACAAATTGGCTTTTGTGATCTGAATCCGCGGTATCAACAAAGTTGCACCAAAAGTGCGCAAAGTTTTACCAAAGAATGTGGATAACAAGGGACAACTCGTTATAATTGTGGCGAAAAAGCGCAACAGGAGCGTGCCTTCTCTTTTCATCCAATCAAAAAACGCACTAGGGCAAAAGAGAAGGCATGCCCCTGTTGCGCACTTTCGCCACTATTATAACGAGTTGTCCCTTATTGTTATCTACGTTCTTTGGCTTTACTGTTGTTCCGTTTTCGCCACATTAACCATGGTTTGTTCATCAAATTGAACCATTAATATGCTACGCATTGCCGAGCCCTATATCACATGGGGTTATCCAAATCTTAAATCAGTTCGTGAATTGATCTACAAACGTGGAATTATCAAGCACAACCATCAACGTGTCTCAATCTCTGACAACTTTGTGATCGAACGCAAATTGCGCAAAGCACACGATATTCAGTGCGTTGATTATTTGGCAATATTCACTGTTGGATCCCACTTCAAGAAAGCCTCCAACTTCCTCTGGCCATTCAAGTTCAACACCAACCGGCGGCTACGTTGAGGTTGGTGGTTTCGGTAACGGTGAAGATAAGATCAACAACCTGCTGCGCAAGAAGGTTTAAAGAAATTTTGTTTGGTGTACAAGGTGGAGTATTTTTATTTCAAAAATATATAAAAAAATAGAAAATGTTTTTTTTGTAACTTTCTGAAGGTTTAAACCGCAAATATGCCAAACGGAAGGCAGCTTATATTCACGATTCCTTGAATAGTGTCGAAATTCCATTGCCGCTTCTAAAGGCCATTTCAAAAGGCTCCAATCCACATATTAATTATTTGTTTTGGGTTTTCAACTCATGAATGATGCAACCAGGGTTGCATTTACCGTCTATGAAAATATTTTATGAAGCGTTCCAAAATTAGCTCCGAGCAACTAAAAGTTGGTTCAGCTCAAGTGAAATAGTTTTTTGTTAAATATTTATTCTTGGTACTTATTAAAAAAAAAATCAGATCGATATTAATGTGACAAATGAAGTAAATAAAAATCTACGAACACATTTTTTGAATATTTTGTCATAGAGACGTTATTAAATACAGACATAACGGCGTCGGGCCTTGGTCTTGACGTATATAGAATTAATGCGTTAGAGAGATAAATATACAAGCTAATCTTTTTTTTTGTTAATTAACGATGCATTTTCTTAATCAGCCTAATCGTGAGCTTCGCCAGAATTTTTTTCACCCACCCGTAGTCAATACACGGAAACGAAAAGTGAAAAGGTGACTCGGTTCGAGAAAATTAAACTCATTGTTGAGTAGAAGTTATGTTTAAGAATCTCAATTATTGTAACCTTGTAATGCAACCCTGTGAGTTGTCTCAAAATAATTGTTAAGTGTTTGTAAAACTTGAGTCTGGTAACACTATGTGCAATGTGTCAAAATTATCGCGCCAAAATAGTTTATTCTAGAAGAAAAAGAGCGCGAGGTCTCATGAAGTGTAAGCATTTTATTCATTTTGTAACATGCGTATTTTATCAGTATTTTCCTTCACAGGAAAATAAAACCAATCCAACCCCAACCGAATCCAACTCCAACCCCATACAATCCCACATCACCAAAATTTAATCAATAAATCGATGGGCTACCATCACTATTAACATCGCAATATGTACAACTAAAATTGAAAGGTTTTATTTTGACACCAGCGCGATCTTCTAGAACATTTTATTTTCACTTTCCTGCAGCAAGGAAAGTTCGATACGGGAGTGTGCTGAAAATTATACAACAAGAACATCCTTTTGAACGAAAGGACTGGCGAAGCAGTGAGCTGCAAGAAGTGACTGCAGGAATCGAGAAGAGCATCGGTAAGTGTACCTTTGGGAAATTAGGGAAGTCAGGTCAATCGGGAGCGATATAGTAGTCGTAGGTGGTTACATGCCGTTAACCCGTTCAACATCCAAAATGGCCAACCAAGAAGGGGCCGCTGGCGAAGGCGAAGACTTAGTTAGGCCCTTAATATGAGTTGCATTCGATTTTCGATCTTCGTTGGTTATCGAAGATCGAAAGTGAAATTCGTATTATGAGCTATGCAACGGTGTCAAAATTTACGTTGAGTATCGAATTTTCTGTCGAACAGAATTTTGCTTTCGATGGTGTAGCGAAGTGTTAGAAAATTGTGAAAAATGTATTATTTGGCATTTGTTTTCTTACTTTTTGGCGGGTAGACACTAATTTTAAACAATTTTTATCAATTTCATGCAGTTTTAACGTCGTGAATACAAAACACAAGCTCGAATGGCTGCTTTTACTTGTGAAAGAAAATCCCAATACTCAGTTGGCACGATCTCTGAGAACAAATCATAGAGCTGTGGATAGTTTTAAAATTTTTTAAATAGATTTGGCTCACAAACGACTTTTTAGACAGTCGGGAGTTTTTAGTAAATCTGTAGACAAATTTCTTAAATATATTTTATGTCAAAATATATTGTAAATACTACACTTAAACTCTCCTAAACATTTACTACTCTTGGCCAGTTCACTAAACTCTCATCCTCTGACGAATCGTTGAACCCCAGAACTTCGTTGTACTAATTTTTACCATGTTTTTAGTGAGTTCATTTTAATTTGCATAAATTTACATAAATATGTATAAGCACACTATTTAGTTTGCTCGATTTGTAAACAAAGCTTCTCAGCGGTGAAAAATATACTATTGTGAACAACATAAACGAGCGAAGTTCGCAATAGCGCTATTCTTCATCGAATGAGCGCCATAATACCAAATGAAAATTCGTTCGATCAGCACTTTCGACCACAGTCGAAGATCAAATGTAACTCATAATAGGGGCCTTAGATATTACTGTTAGGGAACTGACAAACGTTGCAGATTCGGAAGGTGCCAATAGCGTGGCGGCACAATTAACCGCGATGCAAGAAATTCGCAACTTGAAAGCAGCACTTAACCAGCAGCAAAATAATGCTACAACAACGGCAGAGTCGAATAGTCAGTGTGAAGAGGGGTCGGGTAATGCACTAGCAGCTGCGGTCAGTGAGCTCAGCCGCGCTTTATCGCATACACCGACGCAGCCTGTGAGCAGGTTGTATGATTTACCGGACTTCGACGGTCGACCAGATGACTGGTCGATGTTCAAGGAGGCATTTGCGGCTACCACCGAAGAGTACCACTATTCAGAACGACAAAATATGATCCGACGGCAAAGGGCGCTCAAAGGTAAAGCTAGGGAGACGGTCGAGTGCTTGCTAATTCACAGTAATAACGTCAACCGTGTCTTACAAACACTAAAGGAACCCTTCGGTAGGCCAGAGCTCCTTGTCAGAAGCCAAATTGCGCGCATTCGTAATATTTAAAGCATACCTGAAAACCGAATTGATTTAATTATCCCATTTTCTACTAAGGTACAAAATTTAGCGTCGTTTTTAACCGCGTACGAGTGTGACCATCACCTAAATAACCCGATACTTATGTAAGAACTCGTAGCTAAGCTTCCAGTGCAGCGCAAGCTGGCTGGGCACGGTACTCCATTGATATACACCCGCGTCCAACTATACAGCATTTAGGAGATTGCCTACGCGAGGAAGCACGCATCGCAAACACAATATGCAACAATGTAGGCGAGTTGCAACGACAGTAAGGCACGAAGACAGAGAAGCGCCCGAGATTTTTCCACGCATCTGAGACTGAGGAACATCATAGTAATAAGTGTATGATGTGCTCTGGTTATCACGATCTTGAGCGGTGCCAGCGTTTTACAGATCTGACCCATAAGCGAAAATGGAGATTCATACGCGATAGACGACTTTCTTTCAATTGCTTGAAATCGGGCCACCGAAGCAGTACATGCAATCGCGAACACAGATGTACCAATTCGAGGTGCACCCAGAATTGGCATGAGATTTTACACGAACCTCGAATCCAACGGGAGGAAGGCAGTCAGCAATTTGAACAATGACCGCGCATCCTCACCAATGCGGTAGTATCTCATGGTGGGCCAAATCTGCTTTTCAAGGTGCCTCCGGTAAAGCTCTACGCCAACGGTAAAACTGTTAGCTGTTACGCGCTTCTCGACGAGGGTTCATCCCTAAGCTTAGTAAACGAGAAACTCGTTACAGAACTTGGCATTACAGGGCCGAAGCGAGATTTTACGCTGCAATGGTTTGGCAATAACGTGGTAACAGAGTCATCAATGTCTGTGTGCATGGAGATAGCAGGCGTGAGCCAAAATTGTAAAAAGTTCGCACTCCGTGAGGACGGTAAAGAATTTAGAAAATTACCAATCGAAACCTACCAAGGTGCTACCC